TCAACTACTTTCTGTAGCGATGGTGGTATAGTGGTGAACATAGCTGCCTTCCAAGCAGTGGACCAGGGTTCGATTCCCGGCCATCGCACCGCTTTGAATGCAAAATGTATTTTTCAACTTTTTTTCTAAGTCTGGTTAACTTGGCAAAAAATTTCACAGAATGTCTCAACTACTTTCTGTAGCGATGGTGGTATAGTGGTGAACATAGCTGCCTTCCAAGCAGTGGACCAGGGTTCGATTCCCGGCCATCGCACCGCTTTGAATGCAAAATGTATTTTTCAACTTTTTTTCTAAGTCTGGTTAACTTGGCAAAAAATTTCACAGAATGTCTCAACTACTTTCTGTAGCAATGGTGGTATAGTGGTGAACATAGCTGCCTTCCAAGCAGTGGACCAGGGTTCGATTCCCGGCCATCGCACCGCTTTGAATGCAAAATGTATTTTTCAACTTTTTTTCTAAGTCTGGTTAACTTGGCAAAAAATTTCACAGAATCTCACAACTAGCTTCCATAGCGATGGTGGTATAGTGGTGAGCATAGCTGCTTGCCATGCAGTTGACCCGGGAACGATTCCCGGCCATCGCAGTCCCTTGACTATAAAATGAAATACTAATTAATTATGAACTTCTCGTCTAACTCTGGTTAACTTGGCAAAAAATGTCACATTGTCTCTCAACTACTTTCTGTAGCGATGGTGGTATAGTGGTGAGCATAGCTGCCTTCCAAGCAGTTGACCCGGGTTTGATTCCCTGCCATCGCACAGCTTTGAATGCAAAATGTATTTATCAACTTTTTTTCTAACTCTGGTTAACTTGGCAAAAAATTTCACAGAATCTCTCAACTAGCTTCCGTAGCGATGGTGGTATAGTGGTGAGCATAGCTGCCTTCCAAGCAGTTGGCCCGGGTTCGATTCCCGGCCATCGGAGTCCCTTAATTATAAAATGATATATTTATTAATTATGAACTTCTCTTCTAACTCTGGTTAACTTGGCAAAAAATTTCACAATATGTCACAACTACCTTCTGTAGCGATGGTGGTNCTCAGGTAGTCCAGGTGACGCTGATTGCTATGTGGATGCCCATGCTGGCAGTTTGGTGATCCTGAATAAACTAATCACGATGATACAGTTTGACTCAGCGCACTCTTTCAACAACACGACATGGTGTCAGGAGTGCTGTAAGTCATCGTGAGGCTGCAACTTCATTCGGCTACCGGAGACATGGCTGAGGACGACATACAGAGAGTTGGTTCTGCTGGTCCATCTGCAACGTTCAGCATCCAGCCGCCAGAGTCTTTCAACTTCACAAAGCCGCAGGAGTGGGCCAAGTGGATACGACGATTCGAACGGTTTCATCTGGCAAGTAACTTGAACTCTAGTTCTGAGGAGAACCAAGTTAACACACTCATTTATTGCATGGGAGATGAGGCAGATGATGTTCTGCGGGGTTTAGCGTTACCAGATGCTCAAAGAAACGCGTATCAAGGAGTTCGTGATGGTTTCCCAGCTTTCTTTGTTGTCAAGAAAAATGTAATTTATTAGCGAGCCAGGTTCAGCATGCACAAACAAGAGGAGCATGAAACCGTGGATGCCTTTGTCACTTCACTGTATGCGTTAGCAGAACATTGCAGTTATGGAGCGCTACATGATGAACTGATTTGTGACAGACTGGTGGTGGAACTGCAGGATAAAAGGTTAACTGAACGTATGCAGCTCGACCCAGATTTGACACTGGAAAAGGCCATTAATTCAGCAAGACAAAGTGAAGAGGTGAAACGGCAGCAATCGTAGTGTTACCAGATCAGAGACTGGAAATGGAAAATCTGTCGACAGGGTGTACAAAAGCAGTGTTAAGCATGCTAAGACTAAATATCAACCCAAGTTGCACACTACTACAAAAAACAAAAGGGAGATTTCTCAGTGTTATAAGTGTGGCAGCTCTCCATCCCATCCCAAACGTGACTGTCCAGCCAATGGGGAAAAATGTCATTTATGTGTGAAAAAGGGACACTAGAAGAGGGTGTGTAGAACGTTCAAGACTGTACATGCTGTTGAAAGAGATGATGATTTTTTGTTTTTAGGCAGCATTACAAATGGAGATGAACCTTGGAGGGTGGATGTTGAAATAAATTACAGAAGCATCTCATTCAAGATTGACACTGGTGCTGATGTTACAGTTCTGCCATACGCCATGTTTAAAGAAATCTACACAGACACAAGTCCTCCCATTCTGAAAAGAGCCACTAGATAGCTGCTGGGACCTGGGACATTGTGGGAGTTGCTGAGATGTTAATGAAAAAAGGAGATATAGGAAAGTGTGTACATTATGAAACACCTGCAAACTGCACTTTTGGGTAGACCAGCCATTCAGAAACTGGAGCTTGTAGCTAGATTAAATGAGAACTGCTGAAACATTAAAAACTAGCTATCCAAAGCTATGCAGTGGTCTGGGAGAGGTGAGACAGCCTTATGCCATCAAACTGAAAGCAGGAGCTCAACCATTCTCATTAAAGACACCCAGAAGGATTCCACTTCCTTTGATGGACAAAGTCAAGCAAGAACTGTCCCGTACGGAAAATTTGGGTGTGATCAGCAGAATTGAGGAGCCAACTAAGTGGTGTTCAGGAATGGTACTTGTTCCCAAAAAGACAGGTGCTGTACGCATATGTGTTGACCTTGCAAAGCTGAACGAGTCTGTTGCAGAGAGAAGTAGATGAAACACTCGGCAAGCTAGGAGGACCTAAAATCTTCAGTAAAGTAGATGCTAATATGGGGCTCTGGCAGATCCCTTTAACTGAAGATACAGCAAAATATACAACTTTCATTACACCTTTTGGTCGTTATTATTTTAAGCGGCTACCCTTTGGCATAGCTTCTGCCCCTGAGCATTTCCAAAACAGAATGGTTACAGAGGGACTAGATGGTGTAGTATACCACATGGACGATGTGTTGGTGTGGGGGAGAACACAGAAGGAGCATAATGCTCGTCTGCATACCGTTCTTGGAAAGATTCAAAAAGCTGGTATTACACTGAACATTGATAAATGTGATCTTTCAAAGCAGAGTGTAACATTTTGGGCCACATTATCTCCGTTAATGGAGTTAGTCCTGATCCAAATAAAACAGAAGCTGTGAGAAAGATGAAAGAACCAAGAAATGTGAATGAATTAAGAAGCTTCCTTGGAATGGTTAACCAGCTGGGGAAGTTTATTCCACAGTTAGCAGAGCGAGACAAGCCTTTAAGAGAACTCTTGTCTAAGAAAAACTGTTGGATATGGGGAGTCGATCAGGCCAAAGCATTTAAAGAACTGAAAGAGATGCTTTCATCCCCGCCGGTGTTAGCCATGTACGATACTAATCGGGAATGTAAAGCTTCAGCAGATGCATCAGCTTATGGTCTGGGGAGTGTGCTGCTTCAAAAATAGGGTCAGGAATGGAGACCTGTTGCATATGTGTCACGATCTCTAACACACACTGAGCAGAGATACACACAAGTGGAAAAAGAAGCTTTGAGTCTTACCTGGGCTTGTGAAAAGTTCAGTAATTATCTCATTGGCAAACATTTCCAAATGGAGACTGAACATAAACCACTTTTGAGTCTGTTGAGTTCCCAGATGTTAGATGCCCTTCCACCACATATTCAGCGTTTTAGAATGCGTCTCATGAGATATTCCTATTCCATCTCATATGTGCCAGGGAAACATCTGTGGACAGCTGACACTCTGTCATGTACCCCCATGACAGAAAACTTAACAGAAACTGAAACGAAGTTGATTGAAGACTCAAATATTTATGTGGATAGTGTGATACAAAACTTGCCTTCAAGCACTGGCTACCTTGAAGAGCTGAGAGAGGAGCTGAAAAGGGACAGCATATGTGCACATGTGATGCAGCTGTGTGAGGAAGGATGACCTACACACTACAACAGTGAACCAGCACTCAGACTGTACTGGGCTGAAAAGGCATTTCTTACAGTGAAGGATGGTCTTTTGTTAAAGGGAGAAAGACTTGTTATTCCTTCAACTATGAGAAATGATGTGCTCATGAGACTACATGAAGGACATCAGGGAGTGGTAAAATGTTGAGAACGAGCGCAGTAGTCAGTGTGGTGGCCTGGACTGACCCAGCAGCTAAAGGAACTGGTTCTAAAATGCCACACCTGCAACAGAGAGAAAGAAAATCATATTGAGCCACTGATGCCATCACAATATCCAGACAGACCATGGCAAAAACTTGGGGCTGATCTGTTTACTTTGCAAGGGAAAACTTATATTCTGGTTGTGAATTATGCATCAAGATTTGTGGAAATTGCTCAGCTAAGTTCCACAAGATCAGCAGATGTGATTCCTCACCTGAAATCTGTATTTGCACGTCACAGCATTCCAGAAGTAATGATCACAGATAACGGTCCTCAGTTTTCCTGTGCTGCTTTTGCTACATTTGCAAAGTTATATGGATTTTGCCATATTACAAGTAGCCCAAGATATCCACAAAGTAACAGGGAAGCTGAACGTGCTGTTAAAACAATAAAGAACTTGTTGAAGAAAGCAGCTGATCCATATCTCGCCTTACTCGCCTACAGAGCAACACCACTTTTGAATGGATACAGCCCAGCAGAGCTCCTTATGGGAAGAGTCTCAAAATTCACACACAAATGCAGCGCAACTCACAGGCCAGAGGGAGCTCGTAAGTGTGAATCTTGTGCTGTGCATTTGTGAATCTCGTGCTGTGCATTTATGAAACTTTTGCATTTGTGAATCTTAGTCTGTGCATTTGTGAATTATGAGACCGTTTTAACTCCATACACAAAGAAGTTCATATGATGCAGCTTTTAAGTTGAGGGTTACAGATCTGGCAGTACAGGAGGGAAATGGAGCCACTACACATAAGCACATAAGCTCGGTGTGAACGAATCCTTGCTTCGGCATTGGAGGCAGATTGCTACAGCAGATTTATTGTGAAAAACCGAGAGCGTAGATATCAGCGGCTTATAGCCCGTTGTGGCTTATATATGTACGTTTCCAGTTTTAAAAAAAAAACTCTGTAGGTGCGGCTTATAGTAAGGTGCTCTCTATAGTCCGGAAAATACGGTAATCTCAGGGTGTTTTCCCACCTGATTGTGTGATAAAATCAGCTCTATTAGGAACCAAAATTTAAACATTTGTTCCATTTTCATCTGCCGTGGTTCTCTTCACACTTCACTGAAACCAACCAGTGAAAACCCTTCTCAAAACCCCTTGTTGTGAGTTCATGCACTGTGTTGGTTTTGTTCTTTGAGCAAGGTGAAGTTCATGAGTGGCTCATTTTGTGCACCAGTGAAAAAAAAACCATATACTCATGTCTTGAATTTTGAAAAAATAAAAATAAAAAAAATAAATAAATAAATAAATAAAAAAAAAAATCATTTTATTTATCACTAAGGAAGGGTTCAGTGAATGCGCATATGAAACTGGTGGGTTCAGTACCTCAAAAAAGGTTAAGAACCACTGCACTGCGTTGTATTTACGTTGTATTTACCCAGAATGCCCTGCACTATAGTCCACTTTCTACTTTTGGAGCAGTCTCCCGTTTGCTTGATGTTCGCAGATCTAGGTTTTTAGGCTGACCAGAGTTTACTTTTTTGGTCCAGATCATAGTTGGATTACATTGAACTGAAAGATTGAGTCTAATAAGTCAACTCTCTTTACTGTAATCTTTCTTATGCTTGTTTATGTTTATTTTATTGTGTTTTGGGATGTGTTATTTGGTTCCCTTTAAAATAATCTCTGGAGGTATTGCATTTAGTCCAGTGATGGCAGCTTCTCAAACATTTTGGCGTAGTGGCATGAAATCTGATTCCATTCATTTGGAACCTCTACTGGCTGCTTGCTGTTATACAACAACATGTAGAATTTTCATTATTGCATCTTTTCTGAACTGATTTTTAATCTTTTTCCTCTGTCTGTCCACACCTACCAGCACAGAACTGTTTGGGTCTCAGAACCTGTGCCAAGTGCCTGGAGAGAGTCGAGTGCGGCTGGTGTGGCGACCCCAGCAACACTGGCAGAGGTGTGTGCATGGAAGGTTCCTATCGCGGCCCCCTGAAACCTTCAAGCACCAGGTCTGGATCCAGACTGCGGGACAGGGACATGGTGGTGGATCAGAGCCTCTGCCCTTCTGACAGAGGCTACAATTGGGCCTTTATTGAGTGTCCTGGTGAGTGGACATTTGCACAAAATCCTCCTTGTTCAACAGGTGTGATTACAACAATGTTTTGACATTGTTACAACCACAAACTTAAAAACTTGCTATTCAATGTGTTAAAGTGTAATGTGAACCAAAGTTAAGGTCGCAAACAGTTTTAGCCACAATCAAAAATAAAAATGCAATGAAAGCATTTTCATTTCCGTCATGTTCACCTATTGATTCCACCAATGCTGCGTTTCGCTTCCTTTCAGCATGTCAATGTAACGGCCACAGCAGGTGTGTGAACAGCAGTGTGTGTGAGCACTGTGGGGACCTGACAGCAGGGACGCACTGTCAGACCTGCATCCCTGGTTACTATGGAGACCCCACCAATGGAGGGAAGTGTAATGGTAATACTACTCCTCTAAAACTTTTTAAAGCCTTTTCTTTCTCCCTTTACAGCTTTTATGTCTTGAAGCGTTTATTCTTTTAAGACAATGTTGTAATGGTTGCCTACAGCCTGATGGGGGCAGTGTTTAAAAACTTTAGGATGCTAATATTTGGTGTTTTAGAACAAGAAACTACATGTAGTTTGAAGCAGGAGTGGAGAGAGTGTGTTGCAGCTTAGAAGAGACGGAGCAGTTCAGACCGTCCTGCATGTTTTGGTGTCATATGGAAACAGTTACACACTGTGGGGGAAAATCTGTGTGGTCATTTGGGTTAGGGGCGACTGTTTGGATGGTTTTATCTCGGTGGGGGATGAATCAGCAATGATCAGAGAGAAAGGAATGAATGAATGAGCGAGCAAGCGAGTGCTGGTGAAGTGAGACAGAGGTGTAGTCACATTAGTTTCCCTGTGACTGATGTTCGTTTGGGCTTGGTGACGGTCTGACATTAAATTGCTCTGAATCATTTTCTTATTTCCTGACTTGACTGGTGTTTCTGTCCCTGGTGGATTTTCACAGTTAGCATTGCGCTGATGGATGCATGTCAGCCCCCACCCATCCCCTCCTGGCTGAACAATCAGTGGCTTTCCCTGCTACTTTGGCCTCATTTCTTTGTCTATTCAATCTTTTGTTTCCTTTATAAATAGGATTATGTCTCTGCTGTAATCAATACTTCATTCTGCTCTTCTGTCCTATTTTTGCATTTCCTTTTTAATTTTATCATTCTATATTTTGTTTTTGCTTACTTATACATTTTTTCTTCACTGCAAAAGCACAAAATCTTCCCAAGTATTTTTGGTCCAATTTCTAGTGCAAATATCTTAATTCTCTTGAAATAAGAGAAAACTAACTTAGAAGCAGCTTCTCATTAAGATATAGGAGCTTGTTTTAAGTCATTTCTTAATATTGATGAAAGCGTATTAGTACATTGGCAGATCATTTCACTAGAAATACGGGGAAAATATCTTGTTTTAAGTTAAATAATCTGCCAATGGAACAAGTAC